CTTTATACAATTTTATTTCACTATTTTGTCTCAAGAGCTCCACAGGAGTCGACTTTTGAGGTTTTAAGATGTGTTCAACAAATGATATCGTATTTACAAAATGGGTTTGCGATGCAAAATACAATTCAAACTTATTTATTAATTATATATATATTTATATACTATTTATAAGAGGCCATCAGAAAAAGTGTCGTTTTTTCATTTTGAATCTCGTATTTAATTTAATAAATAATCACTAAATTGTTTGAGTGTTTGACTATTTATTAATACTCTCTATATATGTAATCAAATTAAAAGATTGTCTGAATTTTTTAAATTTCTTTTCAAAAAAGCTATCATTAAATCCTAAAGACTTTGCATTTGTTAAAACGGATATTAAAAAGAGTCTCACTTTTTCTTCCCAATCAAGCCTTCAATGTATTTATTTTATAGTTTATTATTAATTATAATCTTATTATGAAATATAAAGCAAAAGTGCATCAAAAAACATCTAGAATCTAGACTCTAGATATTAGATTGGCTTCAAAATAATCAATTCACACAATTCAACCGTTTATATAATTGTTTATTTAGTTTTTCTGTTAAATATTTAATTATCAAAATGAAAATAAATTATATTTACGGAACTCTCAATTGTAAACTCGTTCAAAGAAGTTATATTATTAAATCCTTTGATATTATTTGGCTTTCATTTATGGCTAAGCAATGGTTAATGTGTTGACATTATATTCAATTATGATATAAATATAACACAACAAAAGCAAAATCTAATTTAAAATCAATTATATTTTGAGTTTTGTTGTCCGAGTGTTTTAATTGAAGCGTTAGTTTCATTTGCAAAACATTAAGAATAGATTCAAATGAATGGAAAAGAAATGATTTAATATATAATTTTGTTGAGCAAATTCTCAAGTCATCTCAGTTTAGTTTAATTGGTATGAAAATTATGAAAACATTTTTTAATTTACTTAAAAGTCCGCATTATTTATTAAATTCATACTTTCTTTTATCAGTATTTACTTTGAATGCTATTCTTATGGAAAACAAAACTCAAAATTTAGTTGACATTCAATTATGAAGTTTTTGCTAAAGATTTTGAAAAATGCAAATAAACTTTATTTATAGTAAAAATCTATACAATTTTGTTTTAATTTAGGAATTAAAACTTTAAATAATATGAATTGTATGAATATTTTTTTTGTAAAGATATGCATAAAAATGAGATTTTAAATGAAAATCGTTTTCTGGTCTAAATTATGCCAACATTACTGTTAAAATGCATAGAGAATAGAGAATGAGTTTATATAATATATTCTGACAACAAGTCCTTTATTTACACATCAAAAGCAAGAGTTTTGAGAGTTTTTTTTTATAATCTTATAATAATTGTTGTTTTAATTATGTATTTATTTTTTGTTAAAATACTCTTTTGGATGGAATTTCGATTTATTTTTTATAATTATTTTCTAATATCATTTGCGAAAAATAAGACATTTTCGATGAATAACTAAATTTATAACTCAAATGAAATAAAAGTATTAATCAAAGAAACTAATGTTAAAAGTAAATTATTTTGACTTAAATTTATCAAAATATTATAAATGATGACTGAATTAACAAAAAAAAGTATATAATATTTGATCAATTGATAAAAATCTAAATAATTGCCTAAAATATATATACAATAGAGTCAATACACGTAATATAAACACAATTAAAAAACAAATAAAATTTGTTCACAAAAACGATATTTTGTATAAAACGAGAACTGAATTGAAATATAGATATAAGGGTTGAATAATCGGTTAACGCAATGTTAATTGAGATCATTTTAATGCAGAAAATACTATAGAATTGTATTATTAGTTATAAATAGAAATAAAGAACAAAACATTTAAATTGTGTTCTCATTTTTTTTCTCTTTCTCTCCTTTGCATTGGATTTGCAGCTCATAATGATTTGATTTGCAGTTTAGGAACGCCTGGGAGTCTACTCGGTATGTATATTACATTTTTGTCATGTGAAATACGACATTTTTTCATATCACAAATCATATTAACTGTAATTTGTTGGCCGTAGACATGAGAAAAGCCGAATATCAAGTCTGAGAATAATTATATAATTTAATAAATGCATTACATTTGGATTCAAATAACCAGAAAACAAAATAAAAACAAAATCGACTGACAATTGTCTCATCGGTATTGATATTCAGACGATTGGAAGATCCAAATGAATGCGAAATGAATGCTCATTATTAACATTACTGATCGTCCGTCCAGTACTTCAATTATATAACAGGAAATCAAATGTCAGCCCTTTTTCTCCACAATTCTTTTGTCATTCCGTTATTCAAGTCATTTGTTCACCAATTCTAACGGAATATCAATTATGTTACTTTCTCTCTCTCTCTCTCTCTCTCTCTCTCTCTCTCTCTCTCTCTTGTTTTTGTCTCTTTATTTCTATTTATAACTAATAATACAATTCTATAGTATTTTCTGCATTAAAATGATCTCAATTAACATTGCGTTAACCGATTATTCAACCCTTATATCTATATTTCAATTCAGTTCTCGTTTTATACAAAATATCGTTTTTGTGAACAAATTTTATTTGTTTTTTAATTGTGTTTATATTACGTGTATTGACTCTATTGTATATATATTTTAGGCAATTATTTAGATTTTTATCAATTGATCAAATATTATATACTTTTTTTTGTTAATTCAGTCATCATTTATAATATTTTGATAAATTTAAGTCAAAATAATTTACTTTTAACATTAGTTTCTTTGATTAATACTTTTATTTCATTTGAGTTATAAATTTAGTTATTCATCGAAAATGTCTTATTTTTCGCAAATGATATTAGAAAATAATTATAAAAAATAAATCGAAATTCCATCCAAAAGAGTATTTTAACAAAAAATAAATACATAATTAAAACAACAATTATTATAAGATTATAAAAAAAAACTCTCAAAACTCTTGCTTTTGATGTGTAAATAAAGGACTTGTTGTCAGAATATATTATATAAACTCATTCTCTATTCTCTATGCATTTTAACAGTAATGTTGGCATAATTTAGACCAGAAAACGATTTTCATTTAAAATCTCATTTTTATGCATATCTTTACAAAAAAAATATTCATACAATTCATATTATTTAAAGTTTTAATTCCTAAATTAAAACAAAATTGTATAGATTTTTACTATAAATAAAGTTTATTTGCATTTTTCAAAATCTTTAGCAAAAACTTCATAATTGAATGTCAA